ACACACACACACACACACACACACACACACACACACACACACACACACGAACACGCACACCCCCAGAACTGAAGCCCCGGGAGGAGCATGTTAGAAAGGGAAGAGCAGTGGGCTGCACGGCTCTATCCCAGCCTGCTGCTCTGGACGCCCGGCAGACGCGTTGCTTGGGAACTTGATTTCATGCGTTCCTCCTTTTAATGAGGATACAAGCCAACAATCCAGGTCAACACTGAGACTGTTGGTGACCTGGCTCCTCTTCAAAGGCAAAGGCTGATCAAATAAATACCTGAAATGAAGCCAAACGTCAGGAGATTGTTGGCTGAAAATTACCTGACAAGTACGCAGAGTTTGGGGTGGGGTTCTCACTAGAAGACTGACCAGAATTTGGGTGCGTGGGAAAGGTCTCACTAAGGAAACGGCAGGGCTGAGAGCTGAGTGGCAGTCACCCCACACTCAAAGGGGAGAGAAGAAGAAAATTCTTGGTAGAATGAGAGGTCCAAACAAAACGGCTCCTGGACCACCCCGTGCTGGAAGCTGGCCAGACTCCCTGCAGCATTGTGAAGGAGGATCTCCATAGCTACCACTGTTAGGAGAGGCCGTCTGACACCCACACTCTGTGAAGCTGCTCCTTATCCCCTCAGGTTGATCCCCTCAGGTTTAGGATCCATACTGAGCATGCAAGGTTCTTGTCTAAACCTGTTAACTCATCGTGTGTCACTGCTAGGAGAAGCCAGCCATTTTGGTCCCTTTGACTACTCCTGGGTAGCGAATCTGTCATGTTTTTTTTTTTTTTCCTATCACATGGGTGGGAGACCTGACAGCAGCAGGACCAAATGTTAGCGCTTCTTAACACTTACACAGGTTTCTTAATATCCACCTGTGAAATGGGAATCTGTCTGTCCAAGCATGGCGGACTGGAGCCAAGTGCCCACGGGAGCCAGCGGTCCTCACTCTGCTCTTAACCATATGTCTCCTCAGCAATGCTAAGGTGCCCGGCTGTTCAATCAACACTGCTCAGGAACTGCTGTGAAGATGTGGGTAGATATTCTTCTGGTCTAGGTGGGTTGTGTCCAAGCACTTTAAGGATCTCAGTAAAACCATTTTCCTGGAGGAGTTATTCTGCCTTGGAACCTGAAACATCAACTCCTGCCCAAAAGTGTGCACCCTGCAGCCCAGCCTCAGACCCGACAGCTCTACACCCAAGCAATCCAAATCCTTTTCTCTTTGTGTGGACCCCCCCCCCATCTTTCTTCCTGTCATCCGTCTCTGTGGGTTCCCACTGGTTCCATTTCTCTGTAGCCCCCTCCATCTCTCCCTCCCTCCCTCCCTCCCTTTCTTTTTAAAATGTGGCTCCCCATTGATGATCTTGTGATTTTTCTTCATTACTGCAGCAGCATCTACACCGCTCTCCAGGCTGCCAGGCCTTCTCTGTTCTCTCCATCCTACTCACTGATGCCAGATTTATCTTCTGAAAATAGAGCGCTCATTACGTCACTCCCTCTTCCATCCTGTTCTGTGCTGGAATTGAATACACAGATGACTAAGACAAGGTATCTCCCTTCACGGAAGTACCACAGTTCCCTTGCAGTTCCCTCTTAGACACGGAGGGAAACTGTCGAGAGGCCATGCTCCTAGACTGGAGGCTTTCTCTCTTTTCACTCTTAGGCAAGTTGTCTTAGCTCTTCAAGGCTCAGTTACAACTGGTCATGTTTTATCTTATGGCAACGGGGTTTGTAAGTGAATCAATCTCTCTCTTCCTCTTCCCTCTTAGGGCGTGTTCTCTCTCTCTCTTTCTCTTTGTGTGTGTTTGTGTGTGTTTGTGTGAGAGAGAGAGAGAGAGAGCAAAAACTTTATGTTGTCATAGCACACATCTGTAACATCTGTAAGGTCAGCAATCAGGAAGCCAAGGCAGAAGAATCGTGAGTTCAAAGCCAACCCTGTGCTACATATAAAGATTTTAAGACAAAACCCCACAAAATAAAAACACCTAACTCTAACCAGGCAGCCAGCCAGCCAAGCACAACAAAACCTAAGCGCTAATACTCCTTAGATATAAGTCACCAATAACCCCATTAGTACCAGGTCTCTCTGCCCTGAGTGTGGCGCGGTGTGGCTAGTCTGCCGCCTGTCCCTGCTGCTCCCTCTCCCTATCATTGTGAATTACATCTTCCCAGAACTGTAAGGCAGTGGGGACACAGCAACAGAAAGTGACGCGGACAGCAAGGATGCAGAAGCACACAGTGTTGCTGAGAGGAGAAGCAAGTCCTCATGGTTTTCAACAGTCATGGCAAACCAGACCACACACGTGTCCCCACACCCAGGGCTTTCTGCTGCGCACCCACTCTGTGTACGATTTCCTGCCCAATTAGAAGATTTCCTTTCCTTCCCTGGAGAAGAAGTGTCGTTCTCGTTTTCCCTCCTCATGTACGTTTACAGACTCATTTGCTGTGGGATAATGCTCTTGTACCCTGTAAAGATCTGCATTGGTTTAATAAAATGCTGACTGTCCAGTAGCCAAGGCAGGGCAACCAGACTAGGTGAGTTTTGGGAAGAGGAAAGGCTCAGTCTGCAATCGCCACCCAGACACAGAGGAAGCAGGATAAGAATGCTGCACTGAGAACAGGTACCAAGCCACGTGACTAAACACAGATAAGAATCATGGGTTAGTTTAAGTTGTAAGAACTAGTTAATAACAAGTCTGATTATAATATTATAATTATAATAGGTTTATAATTTATATAAGCCTCTATGTGTTTCTTTGGGACTGATGGCTGTGGGACCAGGCAGGACAGAAACTTCAGTCAACTCTCATTGACATTGTCACCTGCTGTTAGGATTAGGATTCTGTGGTTTTGGAGGTTGGAGAGAGGGCTTTGCCACTAAGAGAACTAGCTGCCCTCGATGGGACCGAGGTTCTGGTCTCATCAGGGAGACTTGCAACTCCAGTTCCAGGGCATCCAGTGCCCTCTTCTGGCCTCTGTGGGCATTAGATACACTTGTAGTGCACAGAAAAATATGTGGGCAAAACACCTACGCAATAAAGATAAAATACATTTGATTTGATTTGATTTGATAAAATACATTTTAAAAAGAAAGATTTTTGCTCTTTGGGCACCAGTGCGAGCTGCTTCACCCTCTTCAGTGCGCGCACATTGGAAGAGAAGAAAAGGAAGGAAGAGAGGAATGAAGGGAAGGAGGAAGACAGAGGAAGGGGGAGCAGAGAGAGGAAAGGGAAGGTAAAGGAAAGGAGGAGAGAGAGAGAAAGAGAGAGAGAGAGAGAGAGAGAGAGAGAGAGAGAGAGAGAGAGACATTAGGGGAAGAGGAAGAGAGTACAAGACCTTTTAAGCAGAGCAGCTTCCTTCACTTTCCATGGGGTCTTAGGTGTTTGGCTTGGGTGTCAGAGGTAGATAGTTTTCAGCCAAAGTGAAGGTTTTTCAGCACCCCCTGCACAGAGCTGGACCGAATTGGGGGGACGTCATGCTCACAGTCAGGGGTGCAGTGGAAGAAGCGTGGACTTGGTGCAGCAAACCTGCCTAGGTTCTGGGTGACCTGAGGTCAAGTTTTCTTTTTCTGAAACCCAGAGGCCATCTTGGCACTTGCCGTGAGCTGTCATAGACCCCTGTGAGGCACACAGTAGTCAGTAATGCCCAAGTGATCTGTAAACTGCAGAGTGTCTCAGACCTAAGCTGTTCTGCTAATCAACTGTTGTTTATTTCACCCAGC